AGCGAGAGGGAATGAGCTGGAGTCTGCTGCCCTGGCAGGGTCACCTCAGCAATTCATCAGGTTAACCTTGAGCACGAGCCTAATGTAGCTACCGTAGCAGGCTGTTCGAGCACAGGCTTGTCTCTTCAGCACTTAAGTGAATCAGGCCTTATTTCTGCACTGCAAGGTTCAAAGTGAATTAACGTTGCACCTTCGTCATGCTGCACCTTCTGAAACACCCTTCATCTCTCCTCAAAAACAGCTGATGCCTCAAAGGCAAAACGCTAGTTAGGGAGGGGAAAGGACAACACTGAGACCAGCCTTGTGTCCTGCACCCAGGGAACCGAATCCCACCCACTCTGCTCTGCTCTCCCCCTCCAGGACCTGGCAGGCAGGCTACAAGGTCATTCCTCCTCCTTTTGGGGCGGTGTGCCAGGCTGGCTGGTGGATGTGAAGCCACGCTGGAGAAGACAACAATGCTGCCTACAACTGCTGGCCACCGGTGGAGGAGCAGGTTCCTCATGAGGTGGCAAGAGGCTTGTCGTAAGTAATGCCTACTCAGGTACTAAGTATGATGATCCTGTCTGTCAAGGGAGTGGAAAGAAAATAGGTCACATCAGGGTTAAGAATAGGGGAGAGGGACAGCTAAGAATGGAGATGTTTGAACTAATTCCTGATTCCTTTAGAGGCCAGGCTAGCTGGGAGGGAGAGTGAGACTCTAAAGCTGAAGATGGCTTTAAAGTGGGACAGTGAGTGATGATTGCTTCTGAATTCCAGTGGGCCTGGCAGGTGAGAAACAGTGAGACAGATACCACCTCACAAAGGTCCACTCCAAACATTTCTCACATTGGCATCCTGTAAGATGCAGACTCCTCTCTGTGGTAGGGGTTTATATGTAGGCTGGTGAGCAAGGCTCCCACATCTTCATGGCAGAAGAAGTCATAACAGATTTTAGAAGGGAATGCAGGATGTGAATGCAGAATTCTCCTACTGGGCACTGCCACATGCAGTGAAAATCGAGTCAATAAAGAAGATCTCTTTTAAATTGAGTTGTAAAAGTTCAGCCTGTGCATCTTCCCAGTGGGCCGGGGTGTCTGCTACAGTATCCCTGAGTGCAGAGCAGAGACTGCTAGGGCGATGTGGGGCTTCAGGGAATTTACCTTCAGAAAAGCATCTGGGGACTGCAGCAGAGGAAAAGGAACACTTGGAGAGTGTCCATCACAACTGCATTCCCAGGCAGCCAAGTGGGTCTGTGGTTTCCCTTGCTCCTGACCTCTTGATCAAATGTGGGGATACCACTGTAAGAAGCTGAGGAAATGATTTCCTTCTCCAGAAAACAGGCATCTTTGTAATCCATCCTCGCAGACTAGACTGCTGTATAAATTATTTACAATGAATGCTACTGAGTCTTGACTTAATCTGATACTCCTGGATCAGCTTTCTGCCACCTACTAGAGTCACCAAATACCCCACAAAGTAACTTAATCTTCACCTAACACAAAAACACATACTACTCCTTCTTCTGTAGGGCTGGAACACAGCTTCAAGCTCTTTCTATTGCTTCCCTGCCTCTATTCCCCGTAAAGCTGCATCCTAACAAGTGTGATGAATTCCTTGGTCTCAGCTCACATCCAAGTGGAGGCATCTCTTGCAGGGACTAAAAATGAAATCAGATCTTCTCCTCTCTTATGATTTTAGTAAAATATTTCCAAGAGCACAAAGCAATATATGGGTAACAACAAGACATTTTTGGCACATCCTACACGGCTGCAGAAACTTGTCATAAATCCAGTTCCTGAACATAACCACAGCCAGCTGCCTGAGACTTTGTTCCTACCAGCCACTGCCAGCATACATACTGGTGGAACCCCACAGCTGCCCAGTCGGGGCCGGTGGCGGGTAGGTATTTTGAGAGATAAGCCCTGAATAGTATGCCACCTGTATAGCATTACACACGGTCTGCTCTCGCCTTTCTTGGTGTACAAAGCAGCTAAGTGTTATCTCATCATCACAGCTGTCAATCTATTATTAATACTGTACTTTTGTTAAGCATCCAGGAAAAGACAGGGTCACTTGAGTGACTCACGGCTCTCTCCCTTCCCCACTCTAGCTCCCATTCTTTTAATTCTCTCCCTACAACAAGAGCGTGACGTATTCTGAACGGAATTAAGTATCAGCCAGCCAGCCAGTACCTGCACTGCACCAATCCACAGGCTATGATCTGCTTTCAAGGCAATTGCGGCTGTTGACCCCAACATTTTTATGACAAGAAACCACAGATGTACTCAGGGTAAAGATTTCTCTTGTATTTCACCATAAGGATCCATAATTATCATTAAAAGAGTGCACAGTTTGGCATGGCCTGGGCTGATGTGCACCTGAGATCTCAAATGTATGACAGAAAAAAATCCTTGAAGGAACTGTGAAAGATGGATGAAATAAAAAAGAGCAGAGACACTCTCTCTGAACACTTATCCCTTGGTCCTTAGTAAAGTCATATAGCTTAGGATCCAACCTATGGAGTCTCCTTAGGCTACCAGTCCAAAAATCTGCCAGTTCTCACAAAGATTGCTGGGAACACAAAAAGACCTGACACAGGATGACAGGATTTGAGTATGAAGGCAGCATCACTGACAGAAACCAAGTCAATATGAAAAAATGGGCTATGAGGCAGACTAAACTCTAGAGAGAGTGCTGTGAAGGAAGAGAGGAAGAGCATGGCTGACTGCAGAGCTGTTCCAGGCAGAGCTTCTCCACAGCACAGGTCTCCCCAGCTCTCTCTCCTGTGACAGTCCTTTCACAATTCCCTTGGGGTTAAGAAACAAAACACCTGCTTGTTGGTTCTTCGGAAAAAAACAGGACAGAAGAATCTGATTTCCAGGCCAAGAAAGAATGGCAACACAATAAACGCATCCACTTTAACTGCCATTCACCCCTAAAAACATTCTACCGACTCCAAGCGACTGCCTTCTCTGAAGAAAAGTGAGAAATGGAGAGGACAGGGCATGACATAGAGACAAACCTGCTTCAGTTTTAGTCAAATGCTCAAACTTGTCACTTTACAGCAAGGGAGCAGAATTTGCTTCCCACATTGAAGAAATTATTCTCAATTCCACGAAAGGAATTAAGATGAAGGATGCAAATGTTTTACACAGTCTGCTTAAACATACCTCCCACTCCTTTAATGACGGGAGGCACAAAGCTTGCTTTCCTGTTGCTGATGCTTCTTTGTCACAGAAATGAGAGTTTTAAAAGCCACTGTCTCCCAGGGAGGGTTGGCAACTACTGCCTTGACATCACTCACAGGATCTGGACCCATGTCTGGAATGGTGATCCACAACAGCTCCTAAAACGCTTGTTTGTGGATTGTCCAACCTTATCTTTGAGACACCACAGGAGAAAGGGGTGCGTGTGTTAACCCTCTTCCTAGCACACCTTTCTTCAGCTACCAACCTGCAATTTTTTTCCTCATCTCCATTGCTATGGGCAATTATGGTCAGAGGAGATGCTTGTGGGGGTATTGCTGTGGGATTCAGAAACTATTTTGGGAGCCATGGCAAGTACCAGGTGTCCAGTGGTTTAGGGTCTCCTTGCTGCTTTTTAATAGCTTTCTTGATCAACCTTTTGTAAGGTAGTCTAATTCATTAAAAAGTCTCTTGCCACAAGGCCTACACAACACACTGTGGATATGGAGAGCATATGACACCCTGATTCAGAAGCTAACTTAGACCTGAGTCTGATCTATCACAAAGATCAGGATTCAAACTGTAGGAGCACAACTGAGATGTAGGTTGTTTTGTTTTCACTTTTCTCAAAAGACTTTCATTAACATGTCTATTTCTGGAAAAAAAGAGCTTCTCAAAGATGTACCAGTCCCTTCTCTCTCAACCCTGACTGTTTAGAAAGAGCTGTCCTTTATCAGAAGTGACACGTCCCACCGCGCTCTGCTCCATTCTCCTCTGACAGGTTCCAGTGCTCTACTATCTGGCAGCAAAGTCCTCTGGGATGCACTGTTCTTACTTCCTTGTGAAACTGGAAGGATATTTACTTGCTTGCTCATGAAAAAAAAGGTAAGAGGAAAGTCATGCTGCAGGGAGCAGTGAAGGGATGTATCTGTGAGGAAGCTCATTACACTGCAGGGCATTGCGGTGAAGAGTCCCACTTGAGGGTCATATTGTAGCCGTAGCTGTGCTCAAGGTGGTGATGGGTGAGGATGGGAAAGCACTGCTCTAACACATACACTTTCTCTCCCCTGCTTTTCACCTACCAGTGCTTGGCTGTTGGCTGTCGCTATGTGCTGCCGAGTCCTTCTTTGCTTGCCCTTCCTCCTGCAAGTGCAACAGTGGCAACCTGGAAGTGGACTGTAGTGGCTTGGGCCTCTCTTCCATCCCCTCAGACATCCCCACAAACACCAGGACCTTCCTCTTTCTCAACAACAAACTCAGCATCCTGCCAGGAGCAGTGTTTTCCAACCTCTCTGCCCTACAGAGGCTGGATCTATCCAACAACTTCTTGGACCAGCTCCCTCAGAATATCTTCAGCGACCTGGGGAACCTCACAGAGCTTCAGCTGAGGAACAACAGCATCCGGGCCTTGGACAAGGACCTGCTACAACACACGGCCTTGCTGCGCCAGCTGGATCTCTCCATCAACGGCCTGGCACAGATACCCTCAGGCATCTTTGATGACCTGCCTGCTCTCCGCTCCCTCTCTCTCAGGTCCAATCGCCTGCAGAGCCTGGACAGGGTGACCTTCGAGCCGCTAACCAGCCTGCAGCAACTCCAAGTTGGGGATAACCCCTGGGAATGCGACTGCAACCTCCGAGACTTCAAGCACTGGATGGAGTGGTTCTCCTACCGAGGTAGGTGCTTGCGCAGCGGAAGCAAGCGCAGCAAGCGCGGAAGCACTGGTTTTCCACAGGAAAGCAGACAAAGGCAGGCAGGAAAGAAGCATGGGCAGATACATCTGGCAGATCGGGCTGACCCAAATGCCAGATCTTAGCCAAGGAGCATGAGGACCATGCTACAATGCTAAAAGACAGTTTAGTGCCACTGCACCTTCATATAGCAACACTGCCAGGCTGAGATGTCCTCTGCAGCCCCAGATCTCCTATTTCCTTATTTTGTTTCTAATCTGAAAGATCTTTTTTTTTTTTTGAGAGGAAAGAACTTTCCTCAAATAACACCAAAATTTTAGGATTATGACTTTCCCTCGCCCTTTCTGCCTAAAGAGAAGAAATGCTTTTCATGCTTGAAAGTAACCATCCCATTCTCTTCCTTAAGCTGGGAGAAGTAAAAGCCAGATTTGGCTGTAAAGCATCAGGTTTGCTTTCAACAAAAGAACCATAGGAAACAGTGCCACTTAGGAAAATACTGCAATTAATATTGGCAAACCCAAACTAAAGCTCAACAACCCAGGCCCCAAGTCAGACTGGCTATAAAATCATCATTTCAAAACAAGCAGTTTTTGACAAGTTTGTATTTCTAGCTTTTCCTCAAAATACAGAAGGCTGGAAAGGTACATATCACTTAGCATGAATGCCAATGGGATGACATGCTTTCAGGAGCTGCGACTCAAAGAAAGATGGCACATTTTACAGGAATCATGATTGAAGGCCTGATCTTCTGTTGCTGGTGACAATGAGTAGGAAAGGGTCTTAAATCATGCAGACAGCAACAGTCAGCTGTCATATTCCTGCT